GCGCCCTGGGATGCAGGGTTACTGCCAGCCTGAGCACCCTCACCATGCACTGAGGCCACAACAGCCTCTGCCTCTAATACAATCAGCTCTCATGTGCTTATTGTATTTCAGATAATAGGGGGGCCTGCACAGCATTCTGTACAACAGCAGGTTTAACCGACTAATTTACGGCTTCAGAAGCAGTGGGTGTTCAATTCCATCCCATTCTTGGGGTTCCTGACAAGCCACTCCAGGCACTGCAGATCCAGTGCTCCAAGCTTTTCCCATTTTCTCGGTGAATTTTGAAACCAGAGCATGTCTCACCTTCGCAGTTCACTGCTGGGTGTCATGTCTCTGGCTGCATCCTTCAAGACAGCTTTAAATATCGATGTCTCACTTCACCACCAGGTCCACCCACTGTTTTGAAGCGGCTGGATCAAATTTAGGAGCAGTTTGGAGTTCCCAGTGCAGTTCCCCACATCTCCTCGTGCAGCTCTGTCACACCCAGCTCACGGGCAGCTGGGGCTTGGCTCGGCTGTCCTGTGTGACACACGCAAGTAACATGTATGTGATGCACAAGCAGGACACAGGTGACACCTCTATGGCCTCAAGCACTCAGGCTGATAGACCAAAAGGGTTTATTTATACTCTCCCACCTTCAGGATTTGTTTCACCAACAAAGACGCACTGGCAAGAAGCAGGTCCAAGCTTAACTACATCTTCTACCCAATTTCCTCTTTAACAAGGCAAAGTAAATATATTTCTGCTTCGAAATTAAGAGCAGCAATATTCTTCTCCCCTATTGCTTTCTAAATGAAGCTCCTGAAAGCCCTTTTTGAAGCTTCCCAGTTTCACTGCCAGACCCGCTCCCCCCTGCTCTCAGCAGAAATGGATTAAACGAGCCCTTTGAAGTGCAGCTGCCCGTGAGCTGCTCTGGGGCCAGCTCAGCTCAGCTTTCTGTGTCTCCTGGAAGCAGGACAGCGGCCACCAAAACTCCCGGGGCTGAACCTGCACGAACAGCAAAACTCTGCCACGGGGCAAGCGCTGCAACCCCCGCCAGCCCCCGCCAGCCAGGGCAGGCAAAGCCACCCATGTCCCCTGCCAGCACAGGAACGGCCCAAAACATGTCAAACACTGCACAACAGGCAGGTTTTGATATTGCAAATATTCATCTCCAGCTATTTCTAGTTAATGGGACAGAGCAAACTATCGAGAAAAATGGGAGCATTACAGTAAAAACAACAACAAATTAAACTCTAATGCAATTAGAGAGCAATTAGGGATCTATCCTCCGGGAGCATTTGGAAACCCTGGGCCTTTCTCAAAATCTGATCTCTCTGCAACTTTATTCCTTTCTAGTTAATAACAAAGAAGTGAGAGGCACAGCTCCCCCCAGTCCATGCAGAACGCCATCTCCTGCTCTGCAGGAGCAGAAGGTGGTGGCAGGTAAAGCCCTCACACCTCCAGGCTGAGGCACACGCAGCTGTCAGCAGAACAGGGTGCAAAGGAGGAGCAGAAACCACCCCCTGTGTCCGCTGCAAACACAAGGACCCAGACGGCTGAGCAGGCACGAGCGACCCTGGAAAACCCTTTGTTTTCCTGTGCACAGCTCCAGCACGAGCCACAGCCCAGAAGAACATGCATTTAATTCCTTTTGGCTTTTTAAATGTACTCACATTTATGCCTTTAGATAAGCACCTGCTTAACCAAAGCTCCCCAGCTGGCTGCAGGACGGAGCAGGGCAGCCCTTGGGCACTGGTGCCTGCTGTGCCCTGGGCAGAGCACAGGAGCCCTCAGCACCCAGAGGTGCCCCACGGCCTGTCACTGCCTGGGCTGCCTCCCTGCCACACCAGCAGGTCTGCAAAGGGGCATTTGGCACAGCCTTCCCTGGAGGGCAGGGGACATGGAGCGTGGTGACAACAAAGCACCCTGGAAACTGCAGGAGAACTGAGATGAGGGGGCAAAGATGCACCGTCCCATTCAACCAGCTCTCCATCCAGGCTCACCCACACGCTGCCTGAGGGTCACAGCAAAGCCTGGTTCTGTGAAACCTTCCTCTGGGGATGCAGACACAGAGAACATTCTCTGCAGAGGGTGAGGTGGCACCGAGGAAAGCTTCCTATCCATTCCCTGAGGCTGCTGCTATTCCTGGGGGCAGCCCCATCTGCACTTCACAGCTCCAGTACTGCTCAGCAAGGGGTGTTTTTCATGCTTTGAAAGGAATAATAAAGCTTCCATATGTCCTGCTACCTGCCCAGCAGCTGTCAGGGATATGACCCCCTCTGTGTTCAGCAGAAGGCGGCACCTGTGCAATGGAGGGAAGTGGGAACCTTGACCTTCATCCAATTCTGTACCCAAATCCACCCTTGGGGACATCAGCAGCCCCATTCTGGCCTAGAAATTGGCCCAGTTCTGATCTCTCAAACCAGTTCTGGATGTCAAGTCACACCTCTTTCCTTGGGAGCTTAACCCAGATAAAAGCAGACACCCAGATCCAAAGGTGCCCAGGGCACCCAGTGCAGGGACCAGCCAGGACCAGCCCCGAGAGCCTCAGGACCCATCTCAGACTGGAGCCATTTCCGAGGTTTGGGGAGCCCTCCTGACTCTGAAAGAACATCTCACAATAGAAAAGGGTCTGCTTAGAGACTCACAGGTCTCAAAGAGATGACAACTTCTGGTCAGAAGTTGCTTCTTGGAAAGGAATCGTTCTCAACAACCCCCTACTATTGCTGTCTCCTCTCAGCCACTGACGTAGGGGATGAGGGCTCTCTGCTGGGGGGTCTGGGGATCTTTCCTCACCCCCTGCAACACACCTGCAGGGAGAGATGATAAATCCACAGCCAGCCCAGCCCAGCCAGCAGCATTCCCAGGTAAATCCACAGGCGGGAAGAGGGGGAGAGGTGGTGCAGAAGCCGTAAATCCCCAGGGAGAGGAAGCCGGCTGCTCGCTGGGAGTGAGGTGCTCAGTCAGCAAGGACCAACCAGCTGCACCAATTCCTCTGCAAACTGGAAGCAGCAAATCAATCAAATCCAGGCAAATATCACAAAATTCCTTACAGAGACACCTTTCCAAGAGGGCACAGCCAGCAATACTGTGAATAGCTGGGGAGGCCTCTCAGAGTGCAGCACACCTGGGGAAGGGAAAGGCAGCAGCACTGCATCTCCTCCAGGCTGTCCAGGGCAGGAGAGGGCAGAGAACCCCGAGGGGGGAAGGCTGGATATGGGATTAAAGTTAAGACTGAACAACTCAGAGCCAAGCAAAATGACCTCTGAAACCCCCCAGCTGGCCAGGCACACGCAGAATCGTGGTGCAATGTATAGAGAAGGATCAATTATTTGGAGTGACTCAGAAGTGACTAAGAACGATCAGATAGGATCAATTGTGAGGCCTGGAAATCATCCCAAATTTTGGAACGGTCCCACCCCAGGACATGGCCAAAAGGCAGGATCCTAGACAGGGATGCAGGAGGCAGTTGTATCAGGAGGTTTATAACCCACAGGTCTACGCTGTTCTGGGAGTAATAAGGGATTCCCAACCTCCTCTTTCTGATATAATCAGGGGAAAGACCCATTTTTACTGTAGAAAGTTCCTGTGCTGCCCCTCCCTCCTGTCCCTTCCTACAGTAGATGAGTCACTGTCTAGAACCTTTAGCAAAATACCTCTTACTGTTTATCAGGTCCCTGTCATTCCCCTGCCCACAGCACAGTGCAAGAAGTGCTCCAGGTCACTGTCTCCTTCCTGTGGAAGGATGAGAGTCCCAAAGCTGAAGCCCCTCTGCCCAGCACCCCCTTTCTGAGCTGCCCCTCCCCAGCAGCATCCCCTCTGCTCACCTCTCACCTTCTGGTGCCAGTGGTTGTGTTTTGCAGAGGGACTGCACGTGCTCCTGCGAGAGCAAACAGCACAGCCTGATGCGGAAAATGCAAACCGGTGATTTTTAACTGTCTGCTCAACACTCTGCAAATCTTTTGCAAATCTCTTCACCCACTACTGCGCACTCAGATAACTTCAGAATCGCAGGATTCTGAAGGGCAAAAGGAGTGTGTGGCTGCCCCAAGGGCAGCAACCCGAGCATGATTAGCATCAGGAATCGAGGGGCACTGCCCGGCTCCGGTCTCACTATCCGAGGGACACGGATCGCCAGCAATCCAGACGGCTCAGGGGTCAGTCGCCAGAGATCCTCCACACAGCCCAAACCAGGTGTCACCTCGCTCACTCTGTGTCAGGGACAGCCTTGGCTTGGCTCTGACCCACGGACAGCCCCAGTGCAACACGTGGGGCCAGACAAGCCCCACGGCGCTGCACGGAGCGATCCCCTCCGCCCGCGGGAGCGGCCGCTGCAGTCGGTCAGGGCTGTCCCCGGGGGCGGCGGCCCCAGCCCCCAGCTCAGCTGCCTCCCTGGAATCGTGCTTTTGCTCTCCACGACCTGCTGGCTTGGGAAGTTCTCCAAACTTCCCAAACGGCACAGAGAACAGGCTTGTTTTCCTGCGTCTACAGAAACGCACGCTCGCATCCCGCAGCCCCCGGCGCTCCCGTTCCCACGCCGGACCGCAGGGACGCCTGTGCGGGGTCCGATCCGCCAGAGCATCCCGAGCTGCACCGACCAGCACAGGGGCTGCCTCCCGGGGGTCCCGCACCCAGAGGCCTGGCTGCCTCGCAGGTGGATACGGCATTCTGTAAGAACTCCACCGGGAAAAAACACCCGCACCTGGCGCGGGGCTGGAGCGCTCGCGGGGCGTGCGCGGGTCACCGCCGGCCTCCCGCCGTGGGTCTGGGGGTGACACGGGGGGCAGAGCCGCCCGCTCCCCACCGGGGAGGACCCCCATCCCGGCTCCATCCGCAGCGGCGCCGGCATCGCCCGAACCGCCCCGGCAGCCGCTCCCGGAGGGTACCGGATCGCCTCCCACCGCCCGCACCAACGCCGCTGCCAGCCGGCTCCGGCTCCCCGGCAAACTTTCCTCCAACTCCCATCAACAGATCCCGGCGGCAGCCCCCGCTCGAGCCGGCGGGTCGGTGCCCGGTACCTTGGGGTCCGGCCGGTGCCTCCGGGCGCGGTGGCCGCTGCCTCCGGGGCC